AGTTTTTTCTTTTGTTGTTAATTCCGGAGAACAAACTTGCAAATAACAGCGCTTTTCTCCGGTCTACCTCCGAAAGCAGCACCTCCAATTCACATTCTGTTCAAAGTTTCTCTTCTTGCTGGCTTTTGCCTTTGCTTTTTCGTTGGGTTTTGCCAAAGTAGAGTCATTAGCATATTCATACGGGGGAGGAGGCAGGGAGGGGTTTTGTGCTCGTGCATGTTGCGCTCAGTTTCATGTTCATTCGGATGTACAAAAGAATATGCATGAGATTCGGCGTACACAGTGTTTCATACATCTGAATTTTTTTCTGGGTACGCACATCTACAGCTTTGTGCGTACGCAATGTTTTAGTAAGATTTCCACGCAAGTCTTCGTACATGAGGCCCCTGGCCACTATTCTGCAAGAGGAATGGATCAAAATCCCTCTGGCTGCTGTGCAGAAACGTACAGTATCTGTCATTCCCGAGACCAATCGATGCTGTATTAATGGTATAGGACAAGGATCACCAAACTTGTTCCTGGAGGTCCGGTCTCCTGCAGATTTTAGCTCCAACCCTAATCAAACACACCTAAACAAGCTAATCAAGGTCTCACTAGGTATACTTGAAACACCCAGGCAGGTGTGTTGAAGCAAGTTGGAGCTAAACCCTGCAGGGCACCGGACTTCCAGGAACGAGATTGGTGACCCCTAGTGTAGGTCCTCCTATTGTGGGTTTATTTACTCTGAGAAGTATTTAATGTCTGACAACATGGAATGTTCAATTGGAATTTAACATGCTGTCATCTCCACATGCATAGTCTAAAACAATGGTCTCAAATTGAATTCCTGGAGGGTCGCAGCTCTGCCACTTCCAACCACCTCCAACACTTTAGCTCCAGCCGCCGCCAACACTTTCAAAGAATTGATTTAAAATAGGTTAACGCTTCATCTTTGGATGTTGCTTTTTTTTTATCATTGGGGAATTTTTCTGTCAGAGTCACTAGAATATTACTCATGTTGTACAAAAGCACACGAGACTCAACCGGGAAGTGCTGCATCCAGCTTTAAGCCAAAAATATAGGAAATGCTAAAAGAAGACCATAACTGGTTATAAGTAAAGCGGAAAGGAAGTAACTGTGATTTGTTAAACTAGATATAGTGGAATGTGATGAGGCAAGCCTTGACCAAAAACTCAGTCTGGTTTGCTAATCATCTGACAGACTGTTTCCTTGGTTTCACATGACTTTTCTGAAGGTAGTATTTCTCACAATGCCATGTTTTATGTAATACAGCATAGAAAACCTCACACACGCCATGGGAATGCAGATCAGCAGTGATACCCAAGCTTTCATTGGGAAAGATGCTAGTCACATTAGCATCGGAGGCAGAATTAAGATGACAGGTTTCGAAACTATTATGTACTGTTTCAATTTCTTATAAAATACCCAGTCATTTGAGTAACTCATAACAAGTCTATTTTACCCACGTACGGTTTACATTGTCATCAAATGGCTTGTTCCATAACTAAGCATACTTTACTGTATTACTATTGCTTGCTCTTGGTTGCTGATGCTGTTTCTAAAGCATTTCATTAATCGCTATTCAAATACTAGTCATTTTCTTAATTTGCATAATTTTCGTTTAAGAAAATAGCCCCTCACACAGTGATAGCGGTAAATATCCGGAAAATTTGCGGAACGACTTTACCGGTAAATTCAAAAAAGCGCTGTTCTCACAGGCGAGGACGTTACGGAATTTTTCCGGAAAAGAGCATTCACACATCCATCGCAAAATGCCAGTAAATTCTGACATCATTAACCAGAAATGACCTCTAAATGGCTGCGCTTGTGTTTGTAAACATTTGACTACATTACAAACTCTTTGGATGGATCAGTATTGAGTACAACTCCAATGAAAACTTTCGCATGTCGAGATGTGCATGATATGTGTGTGTGCTGGCGCTATGGGCGCTCACGGGCACACGCAAAGCTTGAAGGTAAACAAACAACGGATTATCATAAACATTTTATCGATGATTATTTACACAGTTAGCATTAAGAAGGAACATAGAAACGTTATCTGACTAACATCTAGCAGCTAAAGGTGTCTGGAAAAATATTCAAAGGCTTTTATTCTCATAAACCGCGCGCACGTGAATGCGTCTGACTGTTCTGATTGGCTAAAGCAGGTGTCTCACGTCAGCACGCTCTAGACGTGGACGCGATGTTTACGGCAATCTTCCTTCTGCATTCACACAGCGCAGCATTCCGGCAAATTACCGGTAATGTTACAACTTCTCTTTCCGGAAAATAGCCAGAACGAATTTACCGGTATTTTCAAAAAGGGCCTGTTCACACATACAACCTTTCCGGAAAATTGCCGGTAATTTTCCGGAAAGGTCTGTATGTGTGAAAGGGGCTAATGTCTGCAGTAAAGCTGTACAGGTCGTTCACATATCATATGAGAAGCACTTCTCACAAAACAGATGCTTTATACACATAAATACTTCTGTATAAATGTTTATTACTAACTTTTCCATCAACATAATTTGATTGTAACTGCAGATCAATGACATGATAACATCTGCAATTATATAGGATAAATAAATGCAACATATATGAACACATACAGACCATTAAAGTCTCCAATTTGTTACTAATTACAGATAAACTACACACAGCATACATTTAGTCCTTATTTAGGTTCAAAAACAACACGAAATATAGCCCACAGTCAGAGCAAACCTCTTATCTGTGTCTTTAATCTTCAGCAGCACATGTGACCTCTGTTAGAAAGTAATTCTATCATTCCGAGTTCATAATAGTCCAAGAGGTGATGATAATAGGGTATATGCTGAAGCATGCTAATAGGTCTTTTAATTTGCCAGTAACCTGGGTTAATCGTTTCTGGTGAATTGTACGCCAATGCACAATGGGCACGTTTAAGGTCTGTTTTCTTTAAAAATCAGCCATCTCCACTGGCTGAGTGATATCCGATATAAGTGGATTTCAGACTGTACAAGAAGCCCTGCATTAAATTACCTTTTCCCCTGCCATGTCTTTATCATATGAGCATTTTTATTTACCCCAGTATATTCAATGGAGCTTCTGCGCAAGCCTGCCGATTCTGACAGGCGCGTGCGAGCAAATGGCTTTTTGTCTCGTTTTACGCTTGAGCAACTAAATGAATGCCAAAGTGTGTTTAACTGATTGTATTTGAATTACATTACAACATAAATGCTGTAAAAGGAACCGTGTAAAATAAAAATGAAAAACTCAATGACAGGTCACCACAGTTTATCAGTATGGGAAACACACTAGCTCGGAATATACCCCATAGTTAAACACAACGGTTTGCTCATGTTTGCTGAAAAAATAATTTGCTCCTTTGTTTTTTTTTGCGCGTCACTCTCGCATTTGTCCGTTTCTGAAAGGATCGGGTGTCAAAAGCATGTCAATAATCTAGCGCACATTATTATCTTCAGCTCAAGAAGTTTGTAGATAGACGAGAGCGCAAGACAGAAAGCGAAACAGCTCGCACTTGAGACGGGCTCATAAAAAAACTACAGGGCAGAGGGTAGAATCTGCTTTTTCTTGGCTTCGTAGATGTCCATCAAGAAAACAACAAGGTTTGTTTAAGCTCGGGTCGACCATGGCTTGTTATTATATGTATATATTATTATTAAGGGTGTCACGATCCTATAAATCCTCGATTCGATTACATTTTCGATTCTAAAGGCACTATTCGATTCGATTTTCAATTATGAATAATTAATTAATTAATGACCAATTAATTATTTGTAGCCTACCGTTTAAACTACCTGACCTGCATGGTCTTTGTTTTACCCATAAACAAATCATACAGTAAATGAATAAAGGCAAGATACACACATAATTACCACCTGTCAATCACTTTTTCTGCGGGACTCGTGAATAGGCAGTGATCTGTGTCGTTATAATGGCGTCTATAAAAAAAGATGCACAACCAACAGGAACCAGCCAACAGTATCTGAGGTGTGCGCTAAAATGACTAAGTACAAGTGAGTGAAAGATTGAAGCAGTCTTCTGGACTGCCTGGACCTGCTGTCTCGAGCGCATGGCTGTGAGTGCGTCTGTGTGGTCACGTGATGTGCATTTTCAGAGGTAGAGAGAAAGGAGGGCTGCTCAGAAATGCTACACGCCACTTTGGATGTCAAATCGTTGTCGTTCTAAAATGCCATTTAAAAACAAAGACAGTGTAAACAGAGCTTGCAAAACTGTGTTTTTTTTTTTTGTCGACAACACGAACGTTGTCAACTCACTGGAAATCCAAAATGCTTACACACCGGCGACATCATTGAAAGAGGAGAGGGTTTAAGTTCTGTCGACGGGTCTCCTGCTTCTGCAGTTTAACAAGCACTTCAACAAGCCTGTTTTTTTCCCGTTTGGCAAGCCAAGCTGACGTGACATGGGGGCGTGGCAGCATCGACGATTCTATTTTTGGATTCGATAATTGAAATTGAGCATAAATTTTGATCGATTTTGATTAAAAATTGAAATCGTGACACCCCTAATTATTATGGTGTAATGTCTTGGCTGTATAATTAAAACATGGTGGTTCCTTTGTTTTCATTTTGGCTTGTTGCGCAAGTGAATGATGTATCTCTGTAAACCAATAGCATTCAGCTGGGCGTTTAGCTCCACCTTTTGGTACCCTTGGTACCCTTTGCAAAGGGTGAGCAAAAAGAAGTTTGGTACGCCTTTTGACAGTGGAAACGTCATAAAAGCATACCAAACCGTACCACTCAGTGGAAACGGCCCGTAACACCATTTCCAACAGCAAATGTTTTCCCATGTGGTCTCCCATCCAAGTACTGACCAGGCTCAGCCCTGCTTACCTTCAGTGAGTAACCGGTCTTGGTCTGCAGGGTGATATAATATGGATATGATGTGGTCAGAAGCAAACGAGATAAGACATATCAGACTGTGCATCCAACTTACTTTCAGTCTTTCTGATTTGTCCAATAACCACACAACTCAAATATTCTGAAAACCGCTCATTCCTTTTATTCGAACAGGCAAATGCTCACAGAATAATTTTCATCTGCAGCATTCACACCATTTCAAACTCGAAGTCATGACTACAGGAATGCTGTAAGAAACTAAACTATTTAATCATGACTTTACAGCATAGGAAAGGCACTGAAAGAGTATTAGCAAAAACATGAAAAGAAACTGAAAAAGTTAACAGAACGTGGATAAACAGTGTCCTTTAATAGCAGCGCAGCACCTAACGTTTGCTTCAAGTTTGTAGAGTGTTTTCTAAAACCAATTTACACAGCATTCAGCTGCCCATGTTGGGGAACATCTCAGTAAGGGTGGTCTGTTTAGTCCCCTTCTTCACTGTAGATGAGACTGCTGTTGAAGACACAGGAGTCTTTACCCCTGGCCTTTTTCCAGGGGTTGTTCCAGAGAGTCTCTTTTCAGTTTTCTCTTCGCCCCTGCGTCCTGTGCAATTCTTTGCGGTTGTTGTGTTACTGCCCTTTTTTGTACCTTCTACATCTGGGCTTGTAGTGGTGGAAACCGAATTGTTCTTTTGTCGGAGCTGATAGCTGTCGGCTGAGCCTTTTCTGCGGTCAACAGAGTTCTCGCGGTTCAGCTCCTTCTGGATTCGCAAGGCCAACCTTCGGTCTTCCTCCTCTTGCTGCCAGCGGCTCCGTAAGGCCTCCTCATGCACAGCCACTTCAGAGAGAAAAGGGCTGTCTTCTGAAGACGAGTCAAACCTCAAAGGAGCACAAGGCCTCTTAGAATGTAGATCCACTTCGCTCTGAAGCTCGATCTCCGAACTCTTCCGCTTCACTGAGCTGCTTTTGGGAGTGTTAAAAACAAAAGTGTGTTCTGAGGTGCTTGGATTGAAGCTGGAGGTGGAGGGTTTGCCATTGCATTCCAACATGTGAACCGTTAGTTTACCACTGTCCTCCGCAGACAGTGCTGAGAGGGGTTTTGGAGGGCTCAGAATGTTTTCCTGAAAAAGGTATTATTTAAAAACGTTAAATTAACAGTTTGTTTTCACACATATATTAACCCTTGTGTATTGTTCAAATGGACTACCCTTTAGTTATGTTCGGGGCTCTTTTTGCCCCATTGACTTCCATTAAAATCACATTTTTGAACGCAAAACCTTAACACCAAATTAGAGCTGCACGATTCTGGCTAAAATGAGTATCGGGATTTTTTTTTAGCTTAAAATAAAGATCACTATTTTTATTTATATTCTGTAAATGTAAAATAAAGGTATAGTAAAAACAAACATATGGACCAACATCGATAATATATAGGTCTACTGGTTTCTATAAATAAATCTATTCTACTTATAATAATTATGATGTTGAATTATTATGTTTGAGATATATGCTTGCAATCTGTCATATTAGACAATTTTATTCACTGGTAAAATCAGACTTTTGCCATTATCAGATTATATTCAACAATATATAGGCAAGGCAAGGCAAGGCAAGTTTATTTATATAGCACATTTCATACACAGTGGCAATTCAAAGTGCTTTACATAAACGAGAATAAAATAAACAAGTAAAATAAAAATAAAAACAAATAATAAAAATGTGTAAAAACAAAACAAAACATAAAAACAGGTAAAATGTGATATAAAAGAATGAAGAAGAAGAGAAAAACATGATAGTGCAATCTGCCGGACGCAGCACAGTGCTCATTCAGTAAAGGCACAGCTAAACAGATGTGTTTTCAGTCTTGATTTGAATGTGCCTAATGTTGGAGCACATCTGATCATTTCTGGAAGCTGATTCCAGCAGCGGGGGGCGTAGTGGCTGAAGGCAGATTCACCCTGCTTTGACTGAGCTCTTGGAACTTCTAGTTTATATGATCCTAAAGATCTGAGTGATCTGTTGGGTTTGTATTCAGTGAGCATATCTGATATGTATTTAGGTCCTAGGCCATTTAGTGATTTATAGACCAGTAATAATACTTTAAAATCTATTCTGAATGTAACTGGCAGCCAGTGTAGAGACCTGAGGACAGGTGTGATGTGCTATGATTTTCTACTTCTGGTCAGAATTCTGGCCGCAGCGTAGTTATAGGCTAGAGTAGTTATACTGACATTGTAAACATTTATTTTCATGCACAGCTGTGGGTTCGCTATGAAAGAAAAAACATATAAATGCTTGTCGTAATCATAACTCTAAAATGCGATATGATCATTTAAATGAAGTGCACACTTCTGGTTTCATTTTGACTGCTAAGTGCTTGTTCATACTTCGTCATCCAAACGATCACTCAAACTGTATTACCTGTTACTCACAACATATGCAGGTTCTGTTCACTAAAGTAGACGCAAGCGTCTATCATTAAGTAGAGCGTGCGCGGGTCCATCATTAAGTAGAGCCCGCGCGCGTGCGCCCTCTCTGTGATAACAGCTCACGGTCAGCAGCTCATGTCACGTGTGATTTCCCGATCGCAAAAACATCATTATATGAAGACAAAAATTTTATTTTTAGGTGAATTATACCTTATAAATACATTATGTGACTCATTCAACATCATTTGGAGGTGTCAATGTCACCGAGCAACGTATGTGAAACAATGAAAAGACTGCTGCAGCCGCCTTTTCTTCTCTCCTGAACTTGAAAATATGATTGACAGAATCGTAGAAATGCTGGATTAAGATCGTCTAGGGGGTCGAATCGAGATTGCGATCTTTTAACGATTAATTGTGCAGCTCTACACCAAATAATCATGCATTCTTGATTGTTTGTGGTTTTCTCTGTTGGAAAGAGGTTCAGTTTGTAATTCCTACTGTTGATCATCAGTTGCCACTATTAACCCTTTTAGGCCCCGTTTACACTGTCAGGTCTGCCCAATTTTGATTTGTTGCCTATATCTGATTTGTTTGCCTGTCTGTTTACAAGTTGTTTTAATTGTGACCAATATCCAATTCATGCGTTTACACTTGCCATACAATTTACGATGTCGCGCATGCATGAAGGCGGGTTCCAGCATCTGTGCCACACTAGCCACGAAGGAAGAAATTGTCTTGGTTTTAGCTCTGCGAAATATGCGAAGTGTAGTGAAAGCAGTGAATGGTTTAGTCCAGATTTACCCCTACGCAGTTTATGTAATGGTATGGCCCTGATGTGTGTGTGTGTAGTTGAAGATGTAGCTTTTGCCTGTGTGCGCACTGGTGTTGGAGAGAATAAAGTTGTTCTATGTGTAGCCCGCAGTGCGTGTATTAATAGCGACAAAAAGCTAAAGTTACAAAACGAAGTTCGCCTAACAAAGGGCCGTCATCGCAGGTTGGGCTTATGGTTTATATGCTTTATGATGTCCTCCACCATTCAGAGGAATGTGTGCTTACAAGGATCTCAGGTCAGGTGGGAGCAAATTATGGCGACTGACCACATTCCATGTTGTTTACCGCGTCGTCATTTCCACACACACTCTTCCTTCTACGTCATTAAACCGCGGAGAAGCACCACATTGTCGCAACTTTAATGATGTACAGAACGGAATGCCTCAATAAATCCGATCTGCCTGTTTACATGACAGTCGCATTGTCACATATCCGATCTATATCTGATTTATTTCCACATATGAAGGAGGCCTGAAACCGATCTCTGAACATCCGAATGCATGCTTTTTTTTTTTTGTTTACACGGTCATAAAGCAGATCCGATCTGTGTCACAAATGAGCAAAAAAATCGGAATTTGGGTCACATTTAACTGGCAGTGTAAACGGGGACTTAGATAGGCCTGTGCAAAAAAGTTCCTAAATTATAAAAACAAATTATAGTGTGCGTGCATGCATATGTTTACTTACTATGTTTACTTTGTTTTCAGTACTTATTTTGATTTTCTCAGACCTATCAAGGTAAATGTGCAATGGTCTCTCTCACATACACAGTAAACTACATCTCACATAAACTCCATATTAGGTTATAATATTAGGCATATTAGCTTTTTTGTTGCACTGCAACTGATGATCAGCAGCAAAATGACAAATTTGACCTCTTCCCAACAGGGAAAACCGAAAATTACAATCAAAATACAAAAAAAAAAAACAATCAAAAATTCATAATAATAGGGTGTCATGACTTTGCAATGAAAATATGTCATTATAAAGAAAGTCAATGGGGCAAAAACTGTCACCAACATAATGAAAGGGTAGTACATTTGAGCCGTGTGTATTGATGAGATGAAGCATTTTCCCAATATTTGTTTCACAATAAAATTTGTTGACAGAAATTATTTCATTTGCTGAAACAGAAAAAGTTGTGGCCAAATTAAGACTGAAAATCACCCCAGAGTGGATAAAACATCCCCAAAAGCACACAAGGGATAAATTCAAATTAGGGACATCTCAAGCTGATTAAAATTTAACAGCAACTATTTCAGCTGTTTTTGGTCAACACATTAAGCTGAACTTCCTAACAAAAAGCAGCGTGGCCTATGAGAATTAGGTGAAGGGTGTTGTTCACATGCACATTTGACTTTTTAAAGCACCATTAATTTCAAATCAAACACCTTTGTAATTCCTACCCCAGCATATGTAGCCCCATAAAAGTTCATGCTGTAGTTCGCATTTCATTTATAATTAATATATTTCATAAAAAATGCCAAGAGTAATTTTGAAAAATCTACCATTTTAAAAGTTATGTTCAATTTAATACACTTTAATTTAATTCACTCTAATACAATTTGTAATACTGGAGACATTCAAATGCGGTAAACGTGCATTATGTCTGTTATTGTGCAAGATTTATAATTTAAAAACATCTCTGCTTTTTCATTCTGTTTTCGACAATTGAGTACAATTGTTGAAATGAAACCATAAACAAATTTAATATAAGCACTTTCAAGGACCTATGTTTGTTTTTAAGTATTTTCCGGGTCTTGAATCCATATGTCTGAAATTCAAGTATTTTTAAATACTTTCAAGTAGTGTAGGAACCCTGTGAGCACAAGACCAGCCTCTTAAAGATCATATAAAAAGCTTAACTAGAATAAAGAAATTATTAAATTTACTCTACCCTCAGACTACAAAAAGTGGTGGTCTGTATCAATTTTTTTACTCCTGTTTTCCAGTGTGTATGTCCAAACTCTAAAATCAAGATCCAAGCAAGGCTGCAACTAACAATTATTTTAATAATCGATTAATCTGTCGATTATTTTTTCGATTAATCAAATAAAAAGAAAAAAGAAAAGCAATCATTTGCAACCCTTTATTTAAAAATAAAGATATATAATAATAATAAAAAAACTAGTTTTGTCCTGTTTTCAATCCAAATATCTTAAGGTTTTTAAATGAAGATACATACTAGACACATAAAATAGCATAAGAAATCACTTAACCTCAAAATTAAGTAACAGCTTGCTTAAAACAGGAATGTCAAACTCAATTCCTGGAGGGCCGCAGCTCTGCACAGTTTAGTTACAACCCTAATTAAACACACCTGATCAAACTAATTAAGTCCTTCAGGCTTGTTTGAAACCTACAGGTAAGTGTAATGGAGCAGGGTTTGAACTAAACTGTGCAGGACTGTGGCCCTCCAGGAATTGAGTTTGACATCCCTGGGTTAAAACAAGCTAAATTATTTGCCAATGGGGTAAGAAAAAATATCTTAATAAGATATAATCTCAAACAAAAGTTATCAGTATCACTTCATTTTCTCATGCCCTTTTTCTTGTCTGTTCTTGATGGAAGATTTTTTAGATATTTAAACTGGAAACGAGACAAAATGACTAAAAAAACTTTTCTGCAGTGCAGCTATACATGACTACAGACGGAAAAAAATGGCGAAGTGAATAAAAATGTGTCTTTGGTCTTGAAATGCAAAGTAACTCTACCACCGCTGCTTTACTGCTGTTATTAACTCTTTCACTGCTGAGTTTAAAAGATTCTCTCTGGCCCGGGAGTCAGTTTTTTTAGAACATTTACCCTTAATGTTTCCATGGCGACGTACAGCCATGTATGACAGATGTATCCCTTTTATTTAATTTTTTTATTAGTTTTTAGTTTTTTTAATTCAACATATTTACACACTTGCTCATCATGTCATCAACTACCCAATATTCCAATTCACATAAACGTGTAAGTGATCGTGATCTATTGACCTTATTCTAAAATGCGGAAGTGCGCCTGTTTTCGCGATTGTCTTAGAACTTCCGATTCAGTCACCTATGGGAGAAATGACTAGGAATAATAAACGGCAGAAAACGGTCAAACTACTTGCTCTACAAACAAATGTTTGCATGACTATACAAACCAAGTAGAAGAATATAATAAGAAAATATCAAATTGCAACATCAAGCAGCATAATGAGCAGTTTTTAATGTCTAAAAATGAATGGAAGTGAATGAGACCGGAAGTCTCGAGCCAAAAAGATTCAAATGGCAGCACCCGCTCATAGGCGGAGAATAAGGTCAATAACGTGGCGCTGAACTCTGTATCAGTGCGCGAGAGACAGAGAGAAGCCGTGTGTGCACTCCGCTTCGCGCTGAGCTAAAGTTTTCATTATTTTTTTTTTTTTTAATCAAACGTCTCCATGTCGCGTGACACGACGAATCGATAATGAAATTTATTGCCAACGCTTTTAGTAATCGATTTTTATGGATTTAATCGATTTGTTGTTGCAGCACTAATATGTAGTCTTGTTTTCAGACACACTGATCTAAATCATGCGAGTTTAGGCGTCAACTCACTTTATTTTGTTAATTTTCTAATTTTCTCAGACATTTTTACTGCATCTAATGCGATAACGTCATGAAATAGAGGCTTTATTGCTTTAATTTTTGGAAGGGTAAATTTAGACTGCAAAAAAAAAAAAAAGATTAATTTAAATACTTTTTCTTTACAATTATGTATTTCAGATTTCTAAAATGAAACTATGCTCTTCAAATGTTATCAGTTTGCTTTATATCATATCTAAGAAAGATTTCTGTTAATTACAATAGTAATAATTTCATTTCATTCATGCATAAATTACCTTATTAGCCATCAGGGAGGAGTCTGGGCTGCTGTCAGAACTGCTTGGCTGTTTATGAGGCACTGGACGCAAAAACCTGGCATGTAAGAGAATGCAGTGCTTTTCATAACAGCTCTTTCATCACATTTAACAACAAAAACCAGGATGACACTGATGTACTTGGGCTCCACAGCAGCTACTCACTTCTCAATATCCCCCACACTTGGTTTCTTCTTAGCTGGCGTAGCTTCGGCAGGTTTGATGTTGCATGTTGATTCAGAGGCTGGTCCTGAATTCTGCTCAAACAACATAAAATAGATATTAAATAGCTCCAAATTCAAACCGTTTCAATGAGGGTCACAGAGCAAATGAACTAAACCATGCAGTATAAAACGGTCATTTATTAATGTCTGTTTAATGTCCATTATGATTTTTTTTTTACATGTTTGAGCAGAGAGGAGTGTGTCAGTGAACGTGTCTCGGCTCTTGTAATCTCACCAGTTCTAGGCTGAGCAGTCTGGCCAGTTTCTCATCGTTCTCCAGCTGCAGCTCTTCTTTGCGTCTCCTCTCTTCCTCCAAGCGCTCCTCTTCCTCTGCCAGAAGCCGCTGGATGTACTCCTCGCTGGCTCTCCTTTCAGCCTCCTCCAGGGCTCGCTTCTCCTCCACAAGCTGCACAAAAAAACAGGAAATCAGGTGATTAGATGAATTTTGACTTCATATGCGCTGGTGCACAAGACATTGCATTGTACATTAAAGAAAAAAAATCTGAAGGGGTCATATTATAAATTGTAAAAATTAAAATATATACATAAATAAAACTTTGAGGATGGACATTACTCACTACTATTTTTTGAGGTCAGGTAGGTTTTATTTTAAACCTAGCTAGCAACCAAATGTGATAGTGGCAGGGCTCGAAATTGCGACCATTTTGGTCGCATATGCGCCCGAAAATTTATCTATGCGACCTCATAATATATCTGGGAGCATTAGTGCGACTGCAGATAATGGTTGTAGTGCGACCTGTTTTGATTTTTTGTAAAAACGTGCTGAATCGCTCTTCCCTGCCGCTATATTGGTTCATATTAGCTGTCATTCACTCACGGTATTCCGCTGTCAGATGACAGGGAAGGAGCTTTTATGACCACGGGAAATGCAAACGGCTGAAGAGTGAAAACTTAAAGCACACAGGTTTGCAAACCCCACCTAAAGTTGAGGCGCAGATAAAAGCGATCATGACACGTCACGTGGTGAATAATGATCCGCCAGCTGAGATCAATCGAGTACGCGCTTCTTGGAGAAGGTGCCTGAATCTCCATGCGTTGCATTCACTGCGTGTTCAGCGCAAATGTCCGCTAAAAGTCAAATCTAATACTGTACATATCATCGCCAAAGAAGCTCGCCTTTACTAAGGTAACACTGAAACTGCGGCTCATAACAAAGACCGGTATTGCGCCGATGGTTAGCGCAAGAATCCTGCTCAACCTGCTCATAAATTGGGTCGGCTGACTCGCCAGCTTTTCCACAAACACAGAAAAATGAAGATCACCTTAGACTGAACCTTTAAATTGACACAAACTGAAACCAAAACTTTTAAAGAGTGATAGAAGTGAGACTTTACTTATTTTCTTTTGTCTATTCTTTTTTGAGGTGTATATTATTTTTTTATTTATTTACTGATGACTGCTTTGCAGCTTTCATCATTGAATTGAATGATTTATTATAATATTTTGTTTGTTTTGTAGCAGAAATATTATTTATTAAATTGACATGCATATAAAAACAGCAGTACAAAATAAATATTTCTTACTGCAATGCTTCATTTGTTTGATGCAATCTATACAATTATTTTTCATAAAGTAACAGACTTTTTATAGCAGATAACCTACATTCATGCACATTCAAGGCAGCACCATAATGAGAAATGAAATTCATTTTTACTATTATTGTCATTTTTTATCATCATTAATATTCTATGGCCTAATTATTAGACATTCATTTTGGAATTATTGCACACAAATATCAATGTCTTCACAGCATTAGTTAGATAGTTGTTTCTAGTTTTTGTCAGTCCTATTAATGTTGTTTTAAAATACAATAAATCCCTTAAAAAACAATTTGCAGCGGTGCTCATTCATTTTTGGTGGGTGCTCCTAAATATTTGAAGTTGGGAGCACCGGTGCTACCAAGTAAAAGAGTTAATTTCGAGCCCTGTAGTAGAGACATTTGTAATGTTACAAAGATTCCAATTAGATGAGCATGTTGAAATTATTTCTAGTTTCCTAAGGCTGCTTTCACACCTGTGAATCGATTCAGTTGTTCCGAAACAGAGATTACAATTGTTACATTGTTGCTCTTTGCTCTTGGAGCGGTTCGCTTTCACACTGCAAAGTTTCTAATCGGAACAAAAGAGCTAAAACAAGTCACGTGTGAGTAAACTCTCCTCAACTTGGTCAGAGTGTCAGGGTTTATTTTCCAGTGTCCCGCTAAACTGTCAGGAGAGGTGGTGGTTTGGTGGTGATTGACAGGGTGCGCACGCGACGTGTCTGAGGGGAGATGCGGTGGGGAGGGGTGAGAAGGGTGCGTGACGATGCCTATTTGAGGACCGGGAGGGAGACGCAAGATTACCGGGAGATCATCACTAATTGCGGGCATCCGGAGACCAGTGAAACTTCCCGCCATACTCGTAATGCTCTCTTCATATAGCCATATGCCTATTACATATCCATAAAACACTGTGATATAACCGCGCTCGGATCGGATCGCTTTCTCACTGCAATCAAACCGCTCCAGGGGTCGTTTCAATCGAGCCGAGACCACCTCATTCAAGCGATCTCGGAGCGATTACTTTGGCGCGGAACAGAGCGCGATTGCCCTGTTCCACGAACCGCGCTAACTAGGCAAACGAGACAGGTTCCGAAACAAAAGTGTAGGTGTGAAAGCACCCTAAGACTGAGGTAATAATGCTGAATTTAGCTCAATCACAGCAATAAATAAATCTGGAAAAAAAAATTTAATATTTTAAAAAACTAACTGTAATATTTTACAGTATTTTTATTAATCATATGGTTTGTATAGAAGACAAACTTTAAAAATCTTAAGGATCCTGAACTTGAAACTTTAATAAAAATACTATAGAGCTTCAAACTTTTTACTCCAATCATGTGTGCTGAAACAAAGAGTTTATGAATGAAACCTTTTACAAAGAATTTGAAAAAAAAAAATACAAGAGAAAAAAAGTTAATGATAATGACAATGCTAATTAATACTAATAATCATTATAATTACTATTTTTTTTTATTTAAAAAAATTGTCTGATTATCTGACTATGTATTCAAGTATAAGTATTGTTGGGGAATAAAAAGTCTGAAAGCCAAATTTGCACAAAAAAGTAAAAAATGTTTACATTCTTTATAAACGACACCGACTAAAATAAATTTCAGTACAACCGCTCATCAACAAAACACTAAATTGTAATATAATTAATATTTTAAATCCAGTGTTTCCCAACCCTGTTCCTGGAGGAACACCAGCTGTACATATTTTGGAAGTCTCATCTGACCCATTGACCCAGGTTTTTGAGTCGTCTGCTTATGTTCTGATGAGATGATTCAGGTGTGTTTGATTAGGGAGAGGTTGAAAATATGTACTGCTGGTGTGCCTTCAGGAACAGGGTTGGGAAGCACTGCTTTAAAACATGTTTTACCATTTGCCTGCTATCAGAATTTTAATCTAAGTATGCCCAAGTACAGATAAGCAAGTCAGCTAGTGCAAAATTGTGATTTTTCACACCTATTTTGATATTTTTATTGAAACATTTAAGACTTGGAATTACTTATTTTCTCATTTATTTATTTAATTTAACTTATTACTTATTTAATTACATATTTTCTATGTATATAAATCCCTTTTTTTAAAGTAATTTAATGTGGACCCCAAAATGAGATGTCTATTCTTTGACTCAGACCCAGTTTATGTCCACTATGCACATTGAGCAGGACTGGACACAAAAACAAAACCATTGTGTTATTGGAAGCACAACAATAAGACCCCTTTACACAACAAACTGCACTCTGTTACGGTTGTTCAGGGAGGCACTGCATCATTTCACTAATCCAACATGCTTTTAAAGAAACAGTTCACACAAAAATGAAAATTCTGCATTCGTTTAGTCACCCTCCACTTTCCAAAGTTTCTTTCCTCTGCTGAACACAAAAATTATTTTGAAGAATGCTGAAAACTGGTAGCCATTGACATCCCTAGTATCCCTGTCCTACCATAGGGATGTCAATAGGGTTTCCAAAAAAAAATTGAAAATATCTTTTTTTATGAGTTAAACAGGAAAAAATCAAGGTTTGGAAGCGCTTGAACGTGAATTTGTTGGTTTGCTTCTTTATTAACTTATTAATTTACTATTCTATTTCATGGCAAGATCAATATAGACAACAAATTACATAAAAAATAACAACAAACTTCATGAACTCAATCAGAATCAACAAAAAAATGTATTTTACATTAAATATGACTTATTTATATATATATATATATATATATATATATATATATATATATATATATATATATATGTATATATGTATGTACTATGTATGTATGTGTGTGTGTGTGTGTGTGTGTGTGTGTGTATGTATGTATGTATGTATGTATGTATGTGTGTGTGTGTGTGTGTGTGTGTGTGTGTGTGTGTGTGTGTGTATATATATATATATATATATATATATATATATATATATATATATATATATATATATATATATATATATAAATAAACATAAACCAAGAAACATAAAAGCATACGAAAACAAAATCCATAAAGGAAAGTAATAGTATCAACATCCTTCCACGATTACTGAATAGATGGTGGCGAACTACCTCTTTAATAAATAAACTGCTATGAATTTCTTACCTTGCTGATCTGATCCTCATACTCTTTCCTCAGCTCTCCGGGCTGGCACACTCGAGGTTTTGGAATCATCACTGAGAGAAACAAAAATAGGAAAAAAGATTACCCAAGCAACTAATATCAGGGCTGCACAATAAATCGAAAAGTATCATTATCACGGTACTTGCCTCTTCAAGTTATAGAGAAATCTGTGTTTTTTTAAACGAATAAAGATAGCAGAAGTCAATGATTCATTTTAATTCTTGAGCCTGACATGTTTACTGTTGCAAAATGTTGAAGGTTTCTTAAAATAAAATATACTGTTTTCAACGGGGAAACAAGTTGTTTTTTTTTTAACCTAGACATTTAAAATGAACAAACTAGTAATCACGATGCTGTGATACCATGAAACCATTATATTTTTATCTAAGGTTATCATACCGGCCATGCCTACTACCAAATAGCACAATTTTGAACAATGTAAATGTAGACCCGTCACAATAATCAATATATCAACTCAATCACTTTTACTGATGCTATTTATATATACATATACATATATATATATACATATAAAAAATAACAATTCTCATGCGCCCTGCGTGCCTCGTGATTTTGCCGTTGCGGGACTTTACGTTCATCGCGTCTTTTTCATTCTCCAATCAAATATAACCAGAGGCAGAGTTTCCGTTGAGGTGACAGCAGTGTTAGTGTTGTCAAGACGACTATGAACTTTTAAAGATGAAGAAGAGACTAGCGGCTGCTGTTTCAAGTTATCCAGAGCTGTATTACTTTACAAATCTTGAATAATCACAAACATTATTAAATATTAATTATAACAACATTGCAGTAACACTTGCGCACAATCAATATGCAGCTGATTTAGTCGTTTCCTAGTGACATTAAAAAAAAGCACCGCGCTTCTCTTCTTGTCAACAAAAAGGCAGTGTGCCTCGCGTTTTTGGAACGGAAAAGAGCGTTTGGTGTGATCAGCCCCTTAATGTGCAACTGCAACATATATTTGTTAACTCGCGGGACGATAACACGTGCAACCACACGTGCCTACAGACATATTTGCCAAAGAAGCAAAATGGAAGAAGAATACTGCAGTTTGACAGACGTGATGATGCCAAACCACCGCTGATTGACTCCTGGATCTGTGTCATAAACACAACCAATAGAGATGATTTAGTATACAACTAGCAAACCAACTTTTTTTTACCATTTGGGAAATAAGAGTTAATAATAGTTATTATAAAATATCCATTTTTTAAATAGCCTACAATCTATAAATCAAACTAATCCAAAGACTTTTTTTATTTTTGCATAATGATAACTCCGCACCAACTGCTTTTATTTTACAGCTTATAAAACATGTAAGCAAATGAAGGCAATATTATATTTAAACAACAAAACAGTTTACAAAAAGTCAACATGTGCGCGCGTTGTCATTGTCTTTTATCACACGCAGCGTACGCACACGAACAGCGAGTGAGAGAGGGAAAAAAAAAAGCACAGCTTAGAAGGTAAAACCAGACGCTCAAGATATAATCTTTAAAATAATGACTTTTATTTAAATGTAAAAAGGTTTGTGATATAATAATAACAGCCGCGCATAAATGAAATGCATATTTTCAGTGGAGCGATCGATTTGTGGCCTAATCACTTCATTTGACAGAAAAAAAACAAACATGATTGGAAAAAAAACAGCTGGTTCTTGAAAAGGATCAGTCAGTGTTTTCGTTTTGTAATCTGAGCTAAATTTGTCATTTAAGTGCAACATATCTAGGGCAGGCCTATTTATTTAATTTTTTTATAATAATAATAATAATAATTCCTTACATTTATAAAGCGCTTTTCTGGGCACTCAAAGCACTTTACACAATGGGGGGAATCTCCTCATCCACCCCCAGTGTGCAGCATCCACCTGGATGACACGACAGCAGCCATTTTGCGCCAGACTGCACACCACACACCAGCTGATTGGTGGAGAGGAGACAGTGATGAAGCCAATTTGAATATGGGGATGGTTAGGAGGCCATGATGGACAGAGGCCAGTGGACATATTTGACCAGGATGCCGGGGTTAAACCCCTCCTCTTTTTCGAAGGCCATCCTGGGATTTTTAACCACCACAGAAAGTCGGGACCTCGGTTTAACGTCTCATCCGAAAGACGGCGCTCACTGAGCAGTATAGCGTCCCCGTCACTATACTGGGGCATTAGGACCCACACAGACCGCAGGTTGAGCACCCCCTGCTGGCCTCACTAACATTATTTTTTTTTTATAAAGTTTTATATTTAGTTTATTCTTTATTTCTGTGTTGTTGGAAACACTGCAGGTGCGTGAAGATGACCTGCTGTTCTGGTATTAATATGTTTGCATGTTAAAATAAATAAGCATTGTAAAATGCTATATTTAATGTGTCAGACACAAAAAAAGACACGTGAATTTTTTATTTTTATTAAATAATCATTTAATATTATTCGGACCAGTTTACGGTTAATATTCGGTTAACGAGCGGGGGTTGCTGGTTGGCAAAATTAACCGAAATGAGCATCCCTATTCGGAAGAGTGTTTTTGCATTATGAAGCAATTATAGTGTCATTCTGGCATTATATAACGAGTGACATCAACTGGTCCTAAAATGATCAAAAATATTGTTTATCGCAATATATTTTGTTGTAATAAATCATACAACAAATAAAAAAAATATATTGTGACAGGCCTATGTAGACCACATACCAGCTTCCTCATCGTCATCAATTCCCTGTACCCTCCGCTCGCACTGAGAGGGAAAGGCGTCCTGAATACGTCTCCACAGCTCCATGTTGACCAGGGTCTTGTTCCGGCTGTTAAGTCTCGCCCAAGTGGACACGCGTTTCCGGCAAAGCGGACAGCACATGTTGGATTTGTCCACCGTTTCCAGAAAGCAGGGTTTGCAGAACGTGTGCATGCAGGGCAAAGTCACCGGCTCCAGGAATATTTCCAGGCATACAGGACAAACGCAGTCTGAGCGCTTAAGACCGCCAGAGCTTTCTTCAACTGGACCCCTGTCCACCTCGGACACAGGCGGCATCCTGCTGCCCGCCACTGTACGTCAGTCAATGATGATCCTCAGTCAGGGTCAATCGCAGCATAAGATGGTCTGCTGGAAAACAAAACAAAAAAAATATCAAATACAGGGCTTGTAAAAATGTCTAAATCCCTGGTAGCTTTTCGGGCAGAAACTCTTCAGCTTTTGGTAGCTCAGAATACATTCAAGTGATCCGAACAGAAAAGACATTATTTACCAAACAAAAGAAAATACAAAGTTTACTGAATAAAAAGAAAAAAATAGAATGACATTAGTTTTAGGATACATACATGTTTTTAAATATGAATATATTTAATTTCAATATTTCAATTTATTTATGCTAGGGTTGGGTAATGTCAACTAATTTGGCATTGTACGATGTCTAATGTGAAACATCCCGATAGACAATGGCATAATCATCGTCGTAGGTGGCGGTGAATAAATTATTTATGATTAATTAATTAAAAACGCATTAATTACTTGTAGCCTACCGTTTCAACTACCTGACTTGCATGGTCTTTGCCCGGGTGCACAAATAACAGTATCTGAGTTTTCGCTAAAATTACTAAGTACAAGCATGAAAGTGTAAGATTGAAGCTACTGATGCTGTGACACATTACCTGATAGATTCAAAAGAAAGAAATGTAATGTAATGTATTTTTTATTTAATGCCATGTCAGCAACCAAGGCTATTTTCATGGCAGGAATCTTTCAACAATAAATATACAATTTAATAATCAACAAGCAAATTAGAACATTAGAACATTTTTATGTTAATACATGATAAAAATTCTGAAATCTTTTCTGGTTTCACTTTGTTAAAAATGTCCTTTTAGTTTTAGAGTTCATTAAAATAAAAAGTCCTGTTCTGGAATCAGTAAAAAGACAGTCCAGTAAAACGTGTTTTATTCAAAAGACAGATCGTTTTCATTTTAAAATGCCATTTTAAAACGAAGACGTATTCAAGTAAAAGGGGCCTAACGCCCGATTCACACGGGGCTTCAGCGTCAACGCTTGACACAGGGTGTGTCTAAAGTTGGGGGTGACACGATCGTCAAAGCAGCGTCAGCCAATGAAATTAGTCAGCAATTAGTCTGTCTGAGCTGGGGTATTTGCATACAGCGATCTGATTGGTTGGTGCTTCTGTCAGTGGCACCAACGGATCCACAATGCAAATCGGCAACGCCTGACATCACCCATTTAAAGTGTATGGTAAGCGTTGACGCCCCGTGTGAATTAGTGTTTATTTTTCGCAAGCGGGTTGTTGCTGCGACAGGGGCGGATGATCGCAATGCCAGCTCAGCATTGTGATGTCTATCGGCCATCGGCAATGGACGATGACATTGCCTATCAAACCAACCCTAATTTATAAAATGTTCATGTTTTTATTGACACTGAAAAAAAATGATGTGAGGCTTTTTAAAACTTTGTTTTATTTTTTATAAACTTAGCACCACTTTTTTGACACCAGTTGAAATATATTGATATCGGTTCCTCGATAAAATGAAAACTACATACAACATAATTAACCAATTTGTAAAAATGCAAAAGAATTAAAATAGGCTGCACTTGTCCGCACATTAACATTTGAGCAGGGTAGATTTATTTTTGGTAGCCCGACTGAAAAACATAATAGCCTCTGGACATGTGGCTAGCAGTTTTGCGAGCCATGAAATTGGATGAGCTTGATAAACTCTGTATTTAGAAATGAATTACAATACTTCACAGACTGTCAAGGTACAGCAGGTTTCACATGGTAAAAATATGTAATTTAGCTCAAAAATGAGTTTAATATATATTTAAATTTAGTTTCTTTTTCACACTTCAGATTAGAGCTGCACGATACTATAATATGTGATATCGTATTGAGATATTTTTCATATTATAACTAGCTTATGTCTGTCACAATATTTTTGTGTGTGTGTGTATGGTACGATATATAGCACCAACATTTATATGATAAACAATAGTATTGTGACGTTTAGACCATTTTGACACTGTAATATCATCACAATGCACGTACACTCATTTTATTCTCAAGGATATTTCATTTAAATATAGTCATTTTAACAATTTAGTAATTAGGCATTGAATCAGAATGTGAAACTGAATATTCTAAACAAATAAATAATAATAATAGATGTTAAGAAAAAAAATTGCAAGGTAGAAAGATCTAGAAAAAAGAAGCATCTATTTTCAGTCATCAGTAGGCCCACACGGAATCTGCGCGCGCAGAATTCCGCAGATTTTTCGCGGAATTCCACAGATTTCTGTAGATTTTTAGCCCATCATTAAGTCTGTTTATTTACTTAAGTAAATGTGTGTAAATCTAATTTTTTTTTTAAACTAATTACAGTAATATTATTGACTAATATGAAAATGTTCATTTGATTTATGTACAATACAGTCTGTAAAGTAATATTTTCTGTCTTTTAGTAGATATATTATATCTAGTAGATATATTATATATGAGAGACTTGCTTTGTTTACCAAATAAAGTGAATCTAATTAGATTTGCAATTTAAACATTAAATAAAAGTTAAAAAGGTATTACTTTTTATTTAACTAATTAAGGTTTTAGTTACGATACTCTCAAAACAATTCCGCTGAAATTCACAGATTTTTACCAAAATTCTCCGCAGAGATAGCAAAAAACGTCCGCAGATTCCGTCTGGCCCTGATCATCAGGCACCCATGGAAGTATACAAAAGTAATTTATAGTAAATACTATAGTGTTTACCATACCAACACTGACACCTCCAATAGAGATGGAGAAATCGCACAATCAGCTAGAAATGTTGCTTGACTTTTATGTATGGGCAATATATATCGCATCAACAAATATGATTGAGGTCATGTCCATGTATTGTGCAGTAAGTCAATATAGTGATTATTGTGACAGGCCTAAACTAGCTTGCAAAATTTTATTTTATCAGCAATTAAAATATATATTTATTTAGGTTATGGTCTGGTCATACTAAAATAAGCAGGTAATAGATAATTTCCTGAGGTAATTAAATTTTAAAAAAAGATATATAACTCTAAATACTGTGCAGCCCTACTTCAGATTGTGACTAATTAAATTAATTATTTTTTAATTAATATGTATGGACACAATATTTTTAACATTTATATACAAAACCCACTAAAATGTCATTCAGCGTGACAAGAATTTAAAAAACAAAGTAAAAAGTAATCAACAAACAAACAAAATTCCAAAAATTATATTTCATATCACCAGGATCAACCCATTTGTCAGTAAGTTTTTAATGTTTTCAAATACTATGAGTTTTTTTTTTCTGTATTTTCACTATTACAGATCAGAAGTTTTACATTTTTACATAAACATATCCATTACGCTGAATGACGATTTTTAATACAAATTTATATATTTTTTTGTCTTTAAAGTTATTTGAAATAACTCAGTTAATACTTTGCCATTATTTAAAATGCTTTTACACATAAAAGTCCTTTTTAAATATAACTTGATGCCAACAGCAATAAGCGGAAGTCTTATTTTTGACCCACACATGTTTTATGAAATGAATATAGAGATTGAAAATTGTAATAAACCTAATGAATACTCAAACATTTAAACAGTTTTCATAAAAAAATTATGTAAACCTAAGTATTAAACAGTAAGGTAGTTAGTTATGAACTAGTTAACTAGACAGTAAACTAGTTAAACTAGCAATTACATTTTTTTCAACGAACACATTCATATTACTGGCATAATTAATATAATTACGTCAAATCTGATGTGATTTTAATGTTTACATCGACTAGTTGACAGTTCTCAGACATGATTAACGTGTCATTAACGTTAAACTCTGCAGTTTTGACCAAACGACGTGCCTTTGATATATTAAGGTAATTTATATCATCAGTTTACATCTTAAGTTAATTTTTTTTCAAGTTATAACACAAATTCTAATCGGACGGCTAGCAAGTTAGCAACTTTCTAGCAGTGACCAAACTGCTGTTTCTGTAGAGATGACGGTGAGGCTAAACTGAAGGATTGCTTTTGTTAGTACAATACGTAGTTTAATGAATGGTTTTGTAATGTGATCAATTAGAAATTTTACATCTTACACACTTACGCGCTTTCTTGCTCACAAGGCCACAAAATCCCGGGAATATTTTGCGCCCTACTGCCCGCGCGTGTGAAACCATGGGCGGCAACGACAAGACAGTGTTTCAAAATAAAAGCACTGCTGTTTCATTTGGATTAGATCAGTAGAAGAACATACAATACAGCCAACCTTGTTTGAGGACTTTGATTAAGGACTTGACACTCATCTTGGACTAAATGACTAAAGACCCCTGGATTGTTGCTGTTTGATTCATGACATTTGTTGTTATTGTTTTTCAAGCATTCAATAAAAAAAAACATACAATACAGCCGGTAGAAGAACATACAATAAATGGTTAAATAATAACAAGCCTTCGCTCCGTATTTGGTATGGCTTCATGACGCATTACCTGAAAGATTAAAAACGTTTTACAGCCATATATTAAAAGTTTCAGTAGTATAAAAAGTATTAAAAAAAACTTTATAACAGCATGAAACGCAGACAATATAAACGAGCTGATTTAAATTTTGATTGTAATTATAGGTAGTATTTCAAACACTAATCTTATTTTTCTTTAATATTATTAAAGAATTTCTTAAGGCTACATTGCGTAAGGCCACATTTCCCTGCTGAATTTTTTTTTTGTTTTTGTTTGTTTAAACTAGCTTGGTTAGTTGGTTTTAGGGTGGTTATAGCCATCTCTGGCCTGGAATGAACAGCTAAAACCAGCTTTACCAGCCTGCTTTAAGCTGGACGACGTAGCTGGTTTTGGCTAGTCTTCCAGCCTGACCAACTAAGACCAGATCCTGTAAACCCCTGTAAAACCAGGCTGGTCGAATTTGAGGTAAAATTCATTTTACATTTGCACATTCTCCTTTTCAGACAGGTATTCGTTAGAGATTCTAAATAAATAATTCATATTAGCAGCCAATGAATATCTAAATACAACATTGTTCATGACCAATTAAAAAGTGCTTGTTGTTTTGAAGTCATGCATGCTGTTTTTAACCAAATATTCAAAGTACAATGGTAAACGATATAAGGACCATGTCAACAGATGCAGATATAACCAGTAAGCAAGGTAAGCAGTCGCTTAGGGCCCCAGGGAGTCTTGCGGCCCACAATTTTTATAAGTTATATACAACATAATTTTCCATCATATTTTGTAGGGATGTCCCGATTAGGGTTTTTGCCCTCAAGTCCGAGTCATTTGATTAATAGTAGGCTATCTACCGATACCAAAACCCTATCCAAAAACACATAATAAATACTTTAAAAAAGAATAAAGAAGTGAAGAAGCAGATCAAGGATGTTCCTTATTTTTTATTTAATTCACCTTATTTTAACATTCAACAACTCTGTTAACAAACAGAGCACTTCTGTGAGGTAGCTTGAACATCCAAGTAATAACTTAAATTCTTTACTTGTGGACTTTAGAGCAACAGTAAACATATATAAAAAAATCAAATAAAACGAATTGCTTCTCAATTTAAAATACCCAACAAGCAATACTTAGTTTACATATCTGAAAGTTTGCCATGGCAATGTTGTCATCATCAACTATACTATATAATACCTCCAGACCGCAAACATAATTGCACTTTTTGCTTCAAGCTGCTTCTGTGTTCTACTTTGCGGGCAACACAATAGTGTTTTCACAACAACTTGATGTAAGGCTGCACGCGTTGCTGTTTTGTTCACATATATATATATTTGAGTCCTGATCAGGAGATACGTTCAATTACGATTGAGGCTGAAACTGCATGATCAGGCCCGATTTCAGATCGGATCTGACAGCCTGATCTCACGAGAAAACGTAAATATTTTTCGTTTTAAGTCCTGCCACACACTTGTGTCAAGCCAACAAACACTAAAGAATGTCTGGATCTGTGGTCATAAGTTTGCAGCAAATAAACTCTTAATTAATTTGCATAATTTGCTTTAACTATATAATATTTGACTATAACTCTCTGAATTTCCAAAAACATGGTGGGACTTTTATTATGTTTAACTCTCTTTTTAACTCTTTATGTGGCACTCATTGACTGAAATAACAACTGGAACCACCCTGAAGTGTCACAGAGTGTTATTAAAAGACTTTTTATGATTTAAACATTTACATTAAATGAAGTTATATTATAATATGTGTAAAAATGAAGTTACCATGAAGGAGGAGGATAAGTAAGTCAAGTCTACCTTTAAATGGGCTTTATGCACAGCAGGAGTTTAAAAGCCAATGAAAGCTTAATGTGACTATATACAGCATTAATGTTGTAATGTAATTACAAAACATTCAGTTAAATAGACTTAAACACTCATTTAGTTGTTGAAGCAGAATACAAGATGAAAGACCGTGTAACCGTTAGCACCGTCAGTAGCTACAGGCTAGCACAGAAACTCCATTGAAAATACTGGGGTAAAATAAACTGTCAAATTTTAAAGACATGGCGGGGAGAAATGGAATTTAGGTCAGAGCTTCTTTTCTGATCTAAGACTCTCTTCATATCGTATATCTAACAGGCAGTGAAGATTGCAGATTTTTTAAGAAATCAGATACGTGACAATTTTGTAATGGAAAGACAGTTCACCGGAAGTCCTTGGGCTGTCTGGCTGAAAATTTAAGCTTTGTGTGCATATAGCCCATTACATTAAAACTACACTCAATAATTATACACTAAAAAAAACAAGTGACAAAATATTGAAATGGCTAATATAATCAAAAAGTTTAGAATCTAAAATCAACCAGCAGAGGGAACTGCTTTAACATTCTGGTTGTGTCTTAAAATTGTGTCCATCTCTAATTTTGTGTCCATGCAAGAGTGCATCCTAAAATCTCCCCTTAATGAGTATCTAATCGTATGTTGACAAATAGGCAGTACATATATAATTATTTTGTAAAATATAATTATATATATTAAAAAAAGATATATTTATGTAGTTAAGTCTGATGTTTGAGAAAGCAGTCACATACTTTATCAGTTCTAGCACTTTTTTGACATTTTAAACTCTACCTTATGGCCCGTTTCCATTGAGTGGTACTGTACAGTAATTTTTTATTTATTTTTGCTTATTCAAACTTCTTATTTGAAATGGGCTGAAATAACACAATCCGTCACATTTCATTGGTACAACTTAATTTTTTATGTTCAATCCACATACGTTTGTTAAAAGTGTTAAGTTAACTTAATTTGTGTTGGGACAACATGAGTGAATTGTTGAATTAACCCACCATTTTTTTTACAGTGTACAGTTTGGTTCAGTATGTTTTTATGGCCGTTTCCACTGTCAAAAGGTACCTAAAAGCGAACTGTGCCATACCACTTTTTGGGAACCCTTTGCAAAGAGTATATATATACACATTATAAAAATACATATAATAACAAACCCTTTTTGACACAGGCTCAAACAAACCTTGGTGTCGTCTTGATGAACAGCCACAAAGCCAAGAAGAGCAGAATCTGCTTTGTAGTTTTTTACCAAGCCGTCTAAAGCGTTGCTTTCTCGCTAACGTAACAATTTTATCGTGATTTTAAAACATGTCTATAATGTCAAATACTTGTGAATTAAATGGACTTCAATCACATAAGTTCAAATAGGGTGCTTCAACTAATTCAGTTTTCTATGGAATTGCCCAGTTTAAAATGAGCAATTACATCTCACTAAAGGAAATTGTTTTCAGCATCAAAGTTAACCAAGTTGAAACTATTACGGTTTGCTAAAATAGCAACTTTTTATTACTGATTCTCTTTTTAATTTATAAGAGATGCAGTTTTGGACTTGACATAATAAGACATTGGACAGATTTGAAATTTGGCTCAAAAATATAAAAGTTACTGTATGTATGTTAAGAAATTCTAACAATAAACAACATTTTTTTTATAACAAGAGGTCCATGATAGACAAAGAAATATTTTTTCTGCATTTTAAATGATGGCCATAATTATATTGATTTAATGTCATGTGTAACAGTAAAAAATGCAACGTCGTGTCAACAACTCTTGTATTAGCATGTCAACATTAGCATCTTTAGTTGTCGGAGTAGCTATTTACCTCTATTTTACATTTATGTAAGTACAAAAAATGTCAGTTTTCTTTCCTCAAGCAGGGTGTTTGAGTGATTTGGGTCCTTTTTAAACAGTCAAAAGTATATTTAATGATTATACACACCCTCATACAAACTTTAATATGCATATCCAGAGATGTGAAAATGTATTTGCCCCCAGCCAGAATTGTTTTGTGTGGGCTATTTCTTATGTTAAACCATTTTAAATCTTCAAGCATAGCGAATAAAAACAAAGGCAACCCGAGAATACAGCTTTTAAAAAACAGTATACTGCTTTCAAAGTACTATAATGCAAGACACACACAATTGATTCTGATGTGCTTATTTAATTAATTTTCTTGTCGGCTTAGTCCCTTTATTAATCCAAGGTCGCCACAACAAAACGAACCACCAACTTATCCGGCACGTTTTTACGCAGCGGATGCCCTTCCAGCCACAACCCATTTCTGGGAAACATCCACACACACTCATTCACACTCATATGGACAATTTAGCCGACCCAATTCACCTGGACCGCATGTTTTTGGACTGTGGGGGAAACCGGAGCACCTGGAGGAAACCCACACAAACGCAGGGACAACATACAAACTCCACACAGAAACGCCAACTGACCCACCCGAGGCTCGAACCAGCGACCTTCTTGCTGTGAGACGACAGCACTACCTACTGTGCCACTGCGTCGCCCATGCTTAATTCATGATAACTTTAAAATCAGGACACAGGGATGGTTCTCGGAACCATTATTGTTTTAATGCCTTACGAGTTTATCCTAAAATGATCAGTGTAATGCCACGAAAATCAGTAAGCAGTTTCCAAAACATGTATTCATCTGTAGAGTGATCTGTGAAGTGTATTAAAATCCTAAGATATATCGTTTCAGAGCGCAGGCATGGCCTCATCTTCAGATGTTGGTGACATGTTGTTTGTTGGACTCTGTGTTCTTATCCTTTGCCGCAGCTCAAAGTTTTGCCTCCCCATCTCTTCCAGGACAGATTTACTCAACGACTAAAGAAAGACAAGATGAAAAATATGTAAGAGAAACCATGGTCACACT